TACTAGATGAGGAGAGGCAGTAAATATTTGATTGTCGGAGGAGGAGATTAGAGTTTAAGGGCCTGTTCACATTGGCCTGCACACTAGGGTTTACTGTGCAGGCAACTGTTAGTTGAAGGTCTGGGAAGGGGTTGTGTGATGCACATATTTCCTTCCAACTTTACTGAAATGTCAAAATGGCATTTCATTCATTTCTAGGCACCTTAGTTTGACAGAGATCACCAGTGTGTAGTGTACAGTTTATATGGATGATGTAGGAAGAGGGGTATTCCATATCTGGCATTTGGGAGTTGGAGGATGCAGTGTGCATCAAAATGAATGTCAAGCATTTTAGATGTTTTTATCACAAAATATTAGGTCGAAGCCCAATCCACTTTCACATACCCAATCATGCAGGTCATGAAGACTTTAAGAGCAAATATGATCAGTAAACCCATTTATATTTATTTTCACCTCTACATTACCCTTTTATTAGTCTTTGAAATTATATAAATGCAATATACCGAGAGTAATTTAAAGAGTTTTGGAAGTTAAATGGTTTGCCTGTGTGTTCATCAGTTAAAAAATAGGGGCATTTGAGGCTCAAAGAGGGACAAAAGGATTTGTTTCCCAAGTAGGGACAAACTCTCAAAATAACAGACAGCTGTAAGCAATGAAGACTTTGGAAGGATTTGAACCACTGTGGGGTTTTAACTGTTATTTGGGGATGGGTTAGCAAGATTTACCCTCATTTCCTATTCCTGTCCTGCTGACAAAGGATTCACCAAACAGGTAGTAAGGGAAAATATGATGATCAGTGGTGGACACAAAAATTAAAAAAAAAATTATATTCTAATAAAGAAAATCATTTCTATTTTGTTTGTATTGTTGTTTGAGAGTTATCTTAACTTCCGTCTGATAAATATCAGCAGGATAGGAAGTAAGTGGAAATCTTTCTAACAGAGTCCTGGATTGCAGCATAAAAATGGCAGGAGAAAATAATTCTGATTGAGCATACAGCTGAATGGATGCCAGTGGCTTTATATTTGCTCAAGGGAAAATTATGGTATTAGTTATTTTTTGGGTGGTAGATTTTTACGTTTTGCATTGGTCAAAGGTTAAAACAAAAAGCAAACAAAAATGGTCTTTTTTGCAACCATGTATGGAAAAGTGCTCCTCCCCAGAGGTATATAGTTACATAGTCTGGCTGAAAAAAGACAAAAAAATAAATAAATTTATAATCCTATACCCAGAGTTGATCCAAAGGAAGGCAAACCCCCCCTCCAGCAAAGCATTAACCAATTTGCTCCTGCAGGGGAAACATTCCTTCCTGATCCCCCGAGAGGCAACCGGATATTCCCTCGGTCAACTTTACCTATAAATGTTAGTATCCAGTTATATTCTGTGCATCTAGAAAAGAATCCAGGACTTTTTTAAAGCAATCCACTGAGCTGGCCAGAACCAACTCTTGAGGGAGTCTATTCCACATTTTCACAGCTCTTACTGTGAAGAAAACTTTCCGTATTTGGAGATTAAATCTCTTTTCCACCAGACGTAAAGCGTGCCCCCTTGTCCTCTGTGATGACCTAAGGGTGCATAACTCTACACCAAGTTCACTATATGAACCTCTGATGTATTTATACATGTTGATCATATCCCCCCTTATGTATTATACATGGAGATCATATCCCCCCTTAATCTCCTCTTCTCAAGACAGAATAAATTCAGTTCCTCTAATCTTTCCTCATAGCTGAGCTCCTCCATGCCTCTTATCAATTTGCTTGCCCTTCATTGTACTTTCTCCAGTTCCCCAATGTTCTTTTTGTGAATTGGTGCCCAAAACTGAACTGCATATTCCAGATGAGGTCTTACTAATGATTTGTACCGGGGTAATATGATATCTCTCTCTCTGGAGTCTATACCTCTTTTAATACAAGAGAGGATTTTGCTCGCTTTAGAAACCGCAGCTAGGCATTGCAATTAAGCTTGTGATCTACCAGAATTCCCAGATCCTTCTCCACCATTGATTCCCCCAGTTGTACTCCCCCTAGTATGTTTGATGCCTACATATTCTTAGCCCCCCAACTGCATAACCTTACATTTATCAACATTAAACCTCATTTGCCACATAGTTGCCCAATTAAACAGTGCATTGAGGTCGGCTTGTAAGTTGGGAGACATCCTGTAAGGACGTTATTCCACTGCACAGCTTGGTGTCATCTGCAAAGACTGAAATGGTATTCATAATCCCAGACTCTATATCTTTTATAAATATATTCAAAAGTAAAAGTCCCAGAAATGAACCTTGGGGTACACCACTGACAACCCTAGACCATTCAAAGTATGAATCATTAACCACTACTCTCTGAATACAATCTTTTAGCCAGTTTTCTACTCATTTACATACCGATTATTCCAAGCCTGGTACAAGGTATTCTTGGATGCAACTCAGTGCTCTATAGTGACATGTGCTAGTAGTGACATGGCATCTAAAGGCCCATCACCCCCTCTCATAATGGGCCCTGGCTACATAACCAAGTGAAGAAGACTTAGCTGGCCATCAGGTATGACACAACCCTCTCCAAAAAGAAGAAAGCCCTGATATACTGAGCACTATTGATTTTCTATGATTCATCTGGAGCCAGTTCAACTCAAACTGGTACTCAAGCTTGCTTATTGTGCTGATAGTATTTTAATCATGAACATCTTGCAAGCCCTGTGGTCTCACCATGGATTTGTTGTATTCAGAAAAAATAACTACCAAAGGACACGAATGAAAAATAATTAGTTTTTCTAAAAGATTCTTGACAATGCATTAATCTACATCAGGGGTCTCCAACTTTCAAACCAAAGGGCCAGTTTTCTGTCCTTCAGACTTAAGGGGGGCTGAACTGTAGTTAGTGGAAGTAGAAAATGGCGTGGAGTAAGTGGGAGCCAACAACAATTGTAATCCATCATTGGTGTCATTGGGAGGAATAGTGCCCCATCCCTGGGAGGTCAGTGGGAGGAATTATGCCCCTTTTTTGGTGTAAATGGATGGAATAGTGCCCCAAAGGCTGAATAAAAAAAAGCAAAGGGCCATATATGGCCCTAGTTTGCAGACCGTTGACCTACACCAAGCAATCTGTGTTAAAACACGCTAATTACAATAAATTTAATGACCACTAGATGGCAGCAAGTGACCAATATGTAAACAGCTGGATGACAAATGTTAAGCAGGAGTATAGCAATTTGCCCAACCGAACCAATCACCTATCAACTGGTTTAGGACCGGTGCCTACAGCATTTGACGTCTCTCTAAGAAGATTTAGAGATCATTCAAAATGTGTTAATGGGTGCATCTGACCTGCAGTTGACCTACTTCAGGTTGGTTTTTCATTCCCATAGATATGTATGGCAATGCTAAACGCTTCTGAACGGAAGCCTGTGCACTGAGGCCCTGAAGCAGGTTTAAAGCCCAAATTAATCAATTAGGTTTCATGTATACGAGTCTACTCTGACTGCCAGCCACTGGGAAATGCAAAACGCAGTAAAAACGCGGCAATAGAGGTACGTTTTTCCCACGGTCGGCAGTCAAAACGTTCCTAACCTGAATGCGATTCTTTCGTGTCCAGGAGAGGGAGGTTTAAAAAAATAAAGGCCGAAAGCTCCTTAACTTGAGTTTTGCAGCTGCTTGTGTACATGAAGCCTCATATTGCAGCTTAGCAATTCTTAGATGTGATGGCTGCATTAGTTTCCTTTTTTAGGTTTTATTTTTATTCTATTTTTAGTATTATTTTTATCTGTTAATCCAGCCAGTAAGTCTGCTGTTTTTCAAAAGCACAAGCTCTTTAGCAGAATGTATCAATTACATAGATGAGACAAACAACTGAACACTGGCAGGGGTAATGAAAATGATCAGCTTTTATTTATTCATGCAAAACCTTTATCCCAAAATGAAAATAAATACTACTGATGTAACTGATTATACAATGTGAGTTGGAATTTGGCTTTTATTTGTTAGTGCATTAATTTCTGCTAAAACATTTAACCCTTTACTCCCCCCAGACTGACAATGCTGCTGACTGCTGTGCCTCCTGTGGTCACTCATCCAGAGTTGTGTCTCACTAATACAGGAGGTGTGTTACTGGACAGATCACCAGATGAAACCAGAGGGGAAAAAAGCTAAAGAAAACTAATGCAGTTACCACATCTAATGACTGGTAAGCTGCAATACATAAAATTTTTGGTTTTGGGTTTAATATCGATTTAAATACATTCAATGAACATATAAATCTTAAGGAAAGAATTTTGTTCAAATAAATGGTCTGGCTGTAGGGTCCCTTTAACCCTTTCAATGCCAGGTCCGTATGTCGTACGCACATGACAGTGGGGTTTTTTTTTTTTTTTACACAATCATCTGGCTGTAGCCACCGGGATTGTGTATAAAACTGACAGGCAGACTCCCGCCTGTCAAGTGGAAGCAGTCAGGCGGCTGTATTCGGGCTCCACTTGCCAATCTGCAGACCCAGGGAGCAACATGGGGGGTGCCGGTAGGCGGAGGGGAGAGAGAAGAACCGACAAATGTCCACTCTCCTCCTTTTCTTGCTGTGACCTGAAAGACGTGTATTATTATTATTATTATTATTATACAGGATTTATATAGCACCAACAGTTTGCTCAACGATATACAATATAACGGGAGACAATACAGCAACAATACAGTTCAATACAAGAGGGTTAGGAGGGCCCTGATCCTTGGAGCTTACAATCTAGGAGTGACGTCACTTCTGGGTCACCGCTGTCAATTCTAGCTGGGGAGAAATGCATTGCAATACATGCAATGGAGTCCAGAAGAGACATGCAGAGTCTTTTAGACCCTGCATGTCTCTTGAAAGAGTATCCTCACATAGTGGACTCCGAGTCCCCTTTGTGATGAAAAAAAAAATTACAGTATTTTTCGCTCCATAAGACGCACTTGAACATAAAACGCACCTAGGTTTTAGAGAAGAAAAACAAAAAAAAAATATCCTGAACCAATGGACTGCAGACATAGTACAGAAAATGACCAGAGACTGCAGACACAGTACAGGAGATGACCAGAGACTGCGGACATGGTACAGGGGATGACCAGAGACTGCGGACACAGTACAGGAGATGACCAGAGACTGCAGACCTACTACAGAAGATGACCAGACCTGCAGACATAGTACAGGAGATGACCAGAGACTGCAGACATAGTACAGGAGATGACCAGAGACTGCGGAGACACAGTACAGGAGAGGAGATGACCAGAGACTGCAGAGACTGCAGACACACAGTACAGGAGATGACCAGAGACTGCAGACATGTACAGGGGATGACCAGAGACTGCGGACATGGTACAGGGATGACCAGAGACTGCGGACATGGTACAGGGATGACCAGAGACTGCGGACACAGTACAGGAGATGACCAGAGACTGCGACATGGTACAGGGGATGACCAGAGACTGCGGACATGGTAAGGGGATGACCAGAGACTGCAGACATGGTACAGGAGATGATCAGAGACTGCGGACACAATATAGGAGATGATACAGAAGATGACCAGAGACTGCGGACATAGTACAGGGGATGACCAGAGACTGCGGACGTAGTACAGGGGATGACCAGAGACTGCGGATGTAGTACAGGGGATGACCAGAGACTGCGGACGCAATACAGGAGATGACCAGAGACTGCGGACACAGTACAGGGGATGACCAGAGACTGCGGACACAGTACAGGAGATGACCAGAGACTGCGGACACAGTACAGGAGATGACCAGAGACTGCGGACACAGTACAGGGAATGACCAGAGACTGCGGACAGGGGATGACTGCAGACATAGTACAGGATATGGACAGAGCCTACGGATACAGTACAGGAGATGACCAGTCCCTTTACATCAGGTGTTCCAATCAGATTCCCCCTTTACATCAGTTGTCCCCATTATAGTCCCCCTTTATATAAGGTGTTCCCATCAGAGCCCCCCTTTACATCAGGTGTCCCCATAAGTGTAACCTCACCCTTCCCCCTTGTACTCACAGATCTTCTTGTGAATGCAGCTTCTCCTTTCCCTCCTTCGGTCATGTGATAAATCACATGACAAGGGGAGAGAGGAAGGGCACTCTGCCTTCACTCCTTAGTTCCGGCTGTCTATTGCCCCCTGCAGGCAGGAGGGAGGAGAAAGCCTAGTCCCCCCTCCTGCAAGTGTCAGCAGCTACTCCCTGTGACAGGAGTGAAACTGTGAACACTCCTGTCACTGAGGAGCAGCACCAGCAGTGTGCCCCCCCTCAACACAGTGCTCGGGGCAAGTTGGTGCTGCTGGTAGCACCTGCCCCCCACCCTCTGATGCAGCACCTGGGACACACTCACCCACATGTTATTTTCACTAGCCAAATGAAAGCAGGCGAGTGGAAATTTCAAGCCTTGCTCTAGGGTGTCTGCTTTCAGAAAATATATATTTGGGGTTTTGTGTAATCTTCAGGCCTAAAATGGTTTTTGTAAACATGTGCAAAAAACACAAAACTGGCTCTGGCAGCGAAAGGACTAAAAATGATCTTAATGTTATCTCTCAACAGAGGAAGAAAACTAAGGTAGCCACCACATCTAATGAATGGTAAGCTGCAACATATTACATTTTTGGTTTGGGGTTTAATACTTCTTTAACTTTCAAACAATTTGTAATTCTGTGACACCAGCCAATGATTCAAACACCTTTGCCACAATGTATGACCAGGATGGTGACCACAAAAATCCTGGTATATATGCTATATCCTGGCTTAGCTTCACAGTTGCTGGGGTCACCAGTCTGCAAGGATCAGACAACTGTCATGTCTATGGATATGTGTGGATATTTTCAAGCAGTATTTAATCATGATCTCTTTAACCACACCTGTTTTAAAAACACCTATTATATTCTGTATGCTACAAGGTTCCTTAAAGCGGTATTAAACCCCAACCAAAAATGTAATATATTGCAGCTTACCAATCATTAGATGTGGTGGCTGCGTTTATTTTTGTTAGTTTGCCTGTTTTTTTTCTTCTCTGTTGATACCTGGTGATCTGGCCTGTAACATGACTCCTGTATTAGATTGCCCCCACTCTGGATGAAGGAGCACAGGGGGCATCAGAAAAACAACAGACTTACTAGCTTGATCTCCAAGTGAAAATAAGGGAAAGAAAGCCTAAAAAGAAACCTAATGCAGCCATCACATCTACAATGTTTGCTTTTAGGTTTAATACCACTTTAAAGATGATCTCCACCTTTAATGTACCTTTAAATAGTTAGTTTGAGCCATGATGGTGGCAAAGGACACCGGCACATACAGTTGAAGACGGGATAGCTGCAGGACAACACTGGTAAGGGGGATGGGGAAGAAAAAAAAAAATTGTGTGTGGGGGTGGGGTTGCTCTTTAAGATCCAGACCCATTTTTACATGGGCCTATGGAAAAAGCTATTAAATCAGCTGGTAAAATAGGACTTGTTAGATTATAAACCTAGCGTTTTTTTACAAAAAAAAAAAGTGTCAACCATAGATGATGGTAAGTATACCTCTAGGCTGGAAGTGGAGGAGTTAAGGGGAAGGGGGTAGAATGGATGATTGTACTGAAAGTGTCAAAGCCAAATGCACATCCCAGACTCCTGGTGTATAGTGCAAATATAGTCTAATATTATAAAGCCATTTATTCTGAACGGCATAAAGCAGTTTCAGGCTTTCTGGCCTGGTGTATAGAAATCATGGTTCCTATGGAGCAGTGCTTAAGACCAAATGAGATAGTATAAGAGACAGGTTATCGTGAGAAGTATGAGATAGTATAACAGACAGGTTATCATGAGAAGTAACTGAAATCAAAAAGCCCTCCAAAGGAATCAGTTTGTACAACTTTCCTAAAAACAGGTGTTCATGTCTCATTCCATCACATATTCCAAATATATGAGGATTATTCCTCATTTTAGAACAGTGGGCAGAGCCATGCAAATCATTTCCGCATCCAACTGCTGGACAGTTCCACATCCAGACCCTCCAGTTCACTATGCAAATACATAGCTCCCAATTACAGTTGCAAGAAAAAGTATGTGAACCCCTTGGGATTACGTGGAGTTTTGCATGAATTGGGCATAAAATGTGCTCTGAACGTCATCTAATCACAACAATAGAAGAACACAGTCTGCTGAACATAATACTACACAAACATTAGATGTTGCCATGGTTTAATTGCACATAACATGTAAACATTCACAGTGCAGGGAGGAAAAAGTATGTGAACCTTTGGACTTAATAACTGGTTGACCCTCCTTTGGCAGCAATAACCTCAACCAAACATTTCCTGTAGTTGCAGATCAGACCTACACAACGATCTGGAGTAATTTTGGACCACTCCTCTTCACAAAACTGTTTCAGTGTAGCAATATTCTTGGGATGTCTGGTGTGAATCGCTCTCTTAAGGTCATGCCACAGCATTTCAATCGGGTTGAGGTCAGGAGTCTGACTGGGCCACTCCAGAAGGCGTATTCTGTGCTGTTGCAGCCATTGTTTTGTTGAATTACTTGTATGCTTTGGGTCATTGTCCTGTTGCATCACCCATCCTCTGCGGAGCTTCAGTTGGCGGACAGATGGTCGTACGTTTTCCTGCAAAATGTCTTGATAAACTCTGGAATTCATTTTCCCATCAATGACAACAATCCGTCCAGGTCCTGAGGCAGCAAAGCAGCCCCAAACCATGATGCTCCCTCCGCCATGTTTTACAGTGGGGATGAGGTTTTGATGTTGGTGTGCTGTGCCTTTTTTTCTCCACACATAGTGTTGTGTGTTCTTCCCAAACAATCCCAAGGGGTTCTCATACTTTCTTGCAACTGTATCCCTCTCCAATTATCCCCCTTTTAAGTCCAAATCCCTCTGTCCCTTGTGCAGCCTTAGTTGTCCCTCTTGTTGGTCTGATGTGTACATCTATATACAAAATGTTCTATTTTATTCCCAAAAGTGTTATGCTGCACTAAACTTTTTATCTGTCTAGTTTTTTACTGCATTTATTTTAAAAAGCCAATTTAAAAGGAAAAATAGAAGTAAAAAAAAAAAAAAAGCACTGGTGTGGTTTAGACTAGCAGTCACCAAATAGTGGTCTGTGGACCACTGATGGTCTGCTAGAAAACTTTGGTTGTCCCCAGGGGTTACAATGCAAATCAACACTGTGACGGATGTATACCACCCAATGTTGTTTCCAGTGTTCTCAATGCGTGCCGACAGTCAATACTGTCAGTGCGCATTTATACCCGAAGTGTCATCTGTAGTTCCAGCTCCTGTGAACTCAGAGAGAGGTGCCGGGAGTAGTGCAGAAAGCAGGAGGTGAAGGGGGCTTCCAATGGCAGCACTGATCACAGACTGTGGGAAGGAGCATGGAGCTCAAGGACATGGCTGGATAAGGAGGAAAGATCTAATGATGAGTCTGTGAGAGACAGCAGTGTGATGCAAACAGTCGAAGCATTGTGTGTATAAGGCAGTATTGTGATCCCTGCGGGGGGGGGGGGGGGGGGGCCGGAGCATTGCATGTATAAGGCGTGTAAAATTAATATTAGTGGTCCACGGAATTCAGAACTGTGAGTTTAACGGTCCATGAAGTCCAAAACGTTAGCGATCACTGGTTTAGACAATTTTTGGCACATTAGATCTGGTACATGTGTAGTGCCCTGCCTTGGCTAGGCTAAATTTTATTTTTGGCTCTGCTGTACTCAGTGGACTAAAAATCTCAGTCAGGACCTGGATCACCTGCTGGTGGCACTGTGTTTCGCAGAAAGGAAGGTTGTAGTTCTGGTGTCTCCCAGTAACCAGTTTCTACCGGATGCTGGCTGCTGGGAGCGTATTTAGGTCCTTCTCTACTATTTCCTATCACTGCAGTGTTTTGCTTGCTGCCAGATACTGCTAGCCATTATCTTGTTCCTGCTCTTTGCCTTGTACTTATAGCTTAAACCCTGCTGCCTTGTTCCCGATCCTAGCTTTGGGTCCTCTTTCCTATATGTTCCCTGCACTCCAGTTTTTTCCCTTAGTTACGCAGTTTGTTAGGTTGATTAGTTAGATATTCTGTCATTGAGTTATTGGTTCACTTATTTCCATGTTTACTGTGTACTGGTGTTTGCATGGATTTTGGTTTACTGTAACACTTAAAGCATACACAGCCTGGTCCAAGTTTCCTGAGTGCAGCTATGCAGATTTGGCCATCCCTGCTGCTGATTCCTGATAATCTGTTTCTTTGATCAGGTTAGGTTTTCCTAAGCTTAGTGGTCGATTGTTCTGGAAGCTTCTTCCAGAAGCAGGCCGGAGTAGAGTAGGAGGATCAGCCACTGAGTTATGAATATTTATCAGCCAATCCCTGGGAGGGGGTGCCCAGAAGGTGGCTGGGGTTGGTAATAAATGTTTGGGAGGCCTGAGCAGTGTTCTTCCTCTACTAGGAGAGCTCCTCTCCTGGAGCTGCTGCCCCTGAGACTCAGCTAGAGTGTGTTAGATGAGTTGTTGTTGGGCCTCAGCATGTGCTGGACTAAAGACCCAGAAGATATTTGACTAAAGCAGCTTTGTTGGAGGGTATCACCTGGGGACACTAGTCTGGAGAAAGATCCTTTTTCTCCTCCACTGAAGAGTGTCACAAGGAAGCTGGAGTGAACAGTATCTGTCTTAGGACATTGTGAGTACAGACTTTGATTTGAGATCCCAGGTGTGCATGTGCTTGGTGAATAAGTGCCAGAATTTGCTGTAAAGACTGGAGCTGCTTGTATAGAATTCTAGATTAACTGGGCATTCCTCCCACCCTCAGCAAAAGGCTGCTACTAAAGGTTTTCTGCTAAGAGTATGTCCTCCTGTTGTTAGCGTTGGTGTATCCTGCATCCTTATCCCTCTTCTGTTCAAATTTTCTGCAATAACTCTACAAAAGCCATCTCCTAGACTGAGTCCATGTTTGTCCGTGTGCTTGCGACTGAGTCATTCCCAGTGGCCCCTATGGGGGTGAGCACCACATATGTAAATGAGGCAGTGGCAGAGACGTGTCCTTTGCCTACATGCTATGTCCCCAAAAGGGGTCCCACTTTAATAAATTAAGAAAGTTGAGAGGTATGCAAATATAGCTTAATAATATCGCCATTTATGGAATGTCCTGAAAAAGATTTAAAAAATCCTTTTTTTGGGGGGGATATGTGATGGAATGGGATAATCATAATGAGTATTCTTGCTCCTTTAAGTCCACAGGCCATCATATTTTCTCTTCAAACAGATCTCAAAGAATACTAATAGCTTGCAGAATGTTTCCAGTGACCTTTTCAAATACTCCATTTGCTAAGTGCAGCATTTCAATGTCTACAATGAACTTCTAGCTGTCGTTCCAAACGCCATACACAAAAATAACTAAGCATTTCATCAGCAAGGAGCCCGAACAACAATGTCCCTTTATATTGGGTGATCAATCTGCAGATCTGTCTGGGGAAATGTCGTGTCAGGAGGGGGCTGGATGGAATGCCAGGCAGCTCTGGCTGGGCTGATCACAGCCTGTCTAGTGGGCAGGCTTGTCATTTCACTGTGAACACATAGCCCAGACATCCCAAGTCAGCAATTGTCAGCATGTGCTACACAGGATGTAGGTCATATTCTGCTTTCATCAAAATCCCCACCAAAATATTATCTGCTTAAAGGAGACCTGTCCTAGGAGAAATACTAGTTTCCTGGCTGTCATGCTGATCCTTTGGCTTTAGAGTTTATTCACACCAGATGTGTTGTGTTGGCAGCTATTCCCAGCACACCCCCAATGCATAGACATGGCAAAATACCTTGTTTCCAGTGGTGTCAGCTCACACCACAGCGTTGCTGTGATGTGCTCTGAAATGAGTACTGCATGCAGAACTTTTTTTTCAGTGCAACTGGTAGCAACACAAACCATCACAAAACATAGAACTGTATTGAACTGGGATAGACACATCTGCACTCTCAGCATACCATACAACAGCAGCTGTACATTGTGTGGCTCAGTGATGTGAATGAGCCCCATATTTTTTTGGTCTGATTTACCCAGAATAAGACAGGATTAGTAATCTGCACACTGTCTCCAGGTCAGAGACCTAGAAAATACTGACAGACTAAGTACTGAGGTCACCCATGACAACCTACATATTTTCATATGAATGTTTCTTTAACCACGTCCCTTAACAGGGCCTTTAGGTCCAGGGGGCAGGAAGGACTGTTCAATTATGTGACCACTGTGGTTGACTATCACAATGGTCACATGATCGGGGGCTGATCCCGCCAGCTCCCAATCATTTCTAGAGACTGGAAGTTGTCTGACAGCTCAGTCATTGTGTTGTGAGAGTGCTCTCAGCACAGAAACCACAGCACATATGTGTGCATTAAATCCCATCCGCTTTGCTGCAGCACAAATGCGTTACGTGGGTGGCAAATGGTTAATGTGTATCTAAAACACAAAACAAAAATGTAATATCTTGCAGCTTACCAGGTCTTAGATGCAGCAGCTGGATTTGTTTTCTTTTTTAAAGTGTTACTAATCCCAAAACAGTGAAATCAGTCTGTATATGCAGTAAAGCATGCTTGTTTTACGCACTGTGGAACCAAAGAGGTTAATCCTCTCCATTGTGTAAAAAAAGCTGTTTGAACTTGACTTCTCCGATCCTCCCCTTCTTCCAGTGCCCTCTTTTATCTCCTGATAAGACATATCTGTGTGGAGGCACTCTGCACATGCTCAGTTTGGTGTGTATTGCTAGAAAAAAAAATTTTTTTTCTTGGGAGGGTGCATCTGATCAACACAGGGCCAACCAGCACTGTCCAAACAGAGGGCAGGGGTTCTGCATCCTCCTAGTGCAGAAAGTAAACTCTTCCTACAGGCTTTAACATGTGTTATGCTAAACACTGATAGAAGTCACAAGACTGCTCTAACTGCTGATGAGAAAAGGTATTTAGCAGGTTATATTTATTAAAAATAATTGCATTTCCATGTCCTGTGTACTGTGGGAGACCAGATAGAGTGAATGTAGCACCCTGGCTTTAGTGACACTTTAAGGCTAAGAACATTTTCAGCAAAGTACAGAAAAGATGAGTTTATCCTGCATAAATGCAATACTCTTGCCAGTTCTTGTGAGCTAAAAGAACATCAAAACAATACTATATTTTTTGTGTTAACTTCTAGTCCCACCAACTACCATAGCACAATCCTATGCTCTCTGCCGGTCTTTATTTTGGGCATAGCTTCTGGCGTTTGATTTCTCTTTAAGATAGTCAGCAGTAGCAGCCCTTGTATTTATCTTAGTACAGATTTCCTTTAACCTCCCTGGCGGTATGATTATTTCAGATTTTTTGGTGCTGAAAGCGGTACCATTTTTTTGCATGGAAATATGTATTTTTTTTATTGTAGACTGTAATTTTTAGGAAAAACTCACTGAAATCTGTCCGAACAAGAGTCTAGTAAACATCCCGGGTATGATAAAATTGGAAACACAAAATCATAAATTATAATTTAATAAATAATCATAAAAAAAATAATATAAAAATAAAAAATTTAATTCAATAATATAATCAAACCAAAAACACTGAAATGTGAAATAGAGCGCCAAGTTCGCACATTTAGGAGGAGCCTCTGCACGCCTTGACGTTAAGCCACCGGATCAGGAGGTCCGGTGGCCATCATCTATATTCACTGGTCAGTGTATTTAAGAGCTCATTTACACTATACCTGTATAGGTACTCCAACCCTGTACGTTTACTGTTTTATCTTAATGATATATACTCAATAAATACTTTTTACAATACTACACTATGAGCATTCTCATCTCTACTACCTGGCACTGAGCCTCCACATCTCAGCCCAGCATTCTAGGAGTCCACCCAGGCAGGACATTTGGGAAATTGGTCCAGATCAACTTCTCTGGCAGCCGTCACCCTATCCACCACCAGAGGGCACCTTTATCATCAGGCTATACCTTCATGGGACCTCCGGCTTCATGGAATTTCTATGTGCACATTAAATTGCACTTCCGGTGAGTGGGCAATTTTTCTACACCTTCATGTTAGGATGCTGGAATATACCCATTTGGATTGAAGTCGTTTATACTCCATCACTGGAATATACCTTTTTGGACTGATATTATATTACCTTGGACTGTTTAACATCCAGTTTATGGGATTTTTCCATTTCTGTCAATTTCGTCATACTTTAGACAGTGTGTTTTATTTATATAGCGCTGCACACCCTATTTTTATGTCATATTCTTAGAAAGGCTTTGTGGTTCCTTTTTGTGCATCAGCAGCTTTTTATTGGTGCGCTCGCTAAACTCACACATTTATACAAGTTCGCACATTGCTGAGCTCAGTCGCAAAATCGTTTTCAGTTTCTGATGACGAATTTCCCCCACGAATCATTATCACTCAATTCTGTAAGTGGTTCTGATTTACTATCGCTGTTCTCTAGCTGATCTAAACCGCTTTTGACCTAAAGGGACGCTTTTTGGACGCCATGGACATTTCTCAGTTTCCAGGCAGAAAGAACAGACAAAATGCAGGCAGGGCGCAGGACAAAGCACTAGGGACAATATGTATGTGAAATAGGTTGAAACAGCAATGTTTTACTGTGTAAAATGAAAAAAAAAAAAAAAAAAGACATTTTTTAAAATTTTTAAATTTCCCGCCGGCGGCGGCGGCGCCCGTACGTCCCGACGTCACAGGGACAGGACACAGAAGCCGGATGCCGGCATCGGCCAGAGGAGATGGCCGGGGACGCTGCAGGGGACACATCGTGGGAGCGCAGGGTAAGGTAAGTGAAGAACACATGCCGGAGCAGCGCCGCATGGTATTCCCGAGTGTAGCTCGGGGTTACCGCTTTTGGTACTGAAATGTTACCCCGAGCTACACTCGGGAATACCGCCAAGGAGGTTAATGTTCCTCCATGACAGTTGGGTTGCTTTTAATAAGTAGTACAAGAAAAGAAAATCTGCATACGAACATTAATTTTACACCAATCAGCCATAACTTTATGACCCACCCCCCAAATATTTAGCTGGTCTTCCTTTTGCCACCAAAACAACCCTGATCAGGTTTCCAGGTATGGATGCACTAGACCTCGGAAGGTATGCTGTGGTATCTGGCACCAAGCCATCAGTATCAGATCATTTAAGTCCTGTAAGTTGTGAGTGGGACCTCCATTGATTGGAATTGTTTTTCCAGCAAATCCCATAGATGATCAATGGATTGAAATCTGGAGTATTTGGAGGTCAAGTCAACACCTTCATCTTGTTGTTGTGCCCTGTAGCCTCCCTAGCAGTCTGATTATGTCAGTATTTCTGTGCTCAAAGCAGTACTTTTGCATGGAAATATGTCGTTTTTTTTATCGTAGGCCTGTAATTTTTAGGAATAACTCACTGAAATCTGTCCGGACAAGAGTCTAGTAAACATCCCGGATATGATAAAATTTAAAACACGAAATCATAAATTATAATTTAATAATCATAAAAAATATAATAAATTTAATTCAATAATTTAATCAAACCAAAAACACTGAAATTTGAAATAGAGCACAAAGTTCGCACATCACTGAGCAAAGTCGCAAAATCATTTTCAGTGTCTGATGACGAATTTCCCCACAAATCATCACTCAATTCTGCAAGTGGTTCTAATTTACTATCCCTGTTCTCTAGCTGGTCTTAAACTGCTTTTGACCTAAAGGGATGCTTTCTGGACGCCATGAACGTTTCTCAATTTCCAGGCACAAAGAACAGTTAAATGCAGGCAGGGCACAGGACAAAGCACTCGGGACAAAATGTATGTGAAATACTTTGATACAGTAATGTTTTACTATGTGATTTTAGTGTATTTAGTGAATTACACTTTTTGTCATTTTCAAATTTTTGCTTCATTTCCCACCGGTTACGTCCCCTCCTATGCCCTGACGTCGCAGGGAATGGAACCCGGAAGACAGATGAGGAGATGGCAGGGGACGCTGCAGGAGGGACATGGCGGGAGCGACGGACAAGGTAAGTGCAGAAGGGATTCCGGAGCAACGCTGCAAGGTATTCCCGATTGTAGCTTGGGGTTACCGCTTGTGGTACTGAAACTTTACCCCGAGCTACACTCGGGAATACCTCCAGGGAGGTTAAACCATTCTTGACCCATTTTTTGCAGGGTAGCAGAGTACATTATCCTGCTGAAAGAGGCCATTGCCGTTAGGAAATACCGTTTCCAAGAAGGGGTGTACTACAGTGCCTTGAAAAAGTATTCATGGCCCTTGAAATTTTCCCCATTTTTGTGATGTTACAACCAAAAACATAAATGTATTTTATTGGGATATTATGTGATAGACCAACACAAAGTGGTAAATAATTGTAACGTGGAAGGAAAATGAGAAATGGTTTTCACAAATAAATATATGAAAAGTGTGGAGTGCATTTGTATTCAGCCCCCTTTACTCTGATACCCCTATCTAGTGGAACCAATTGCCTTCAGAAGTCACCTAATCAGTAAATCGAATGTGTAATTTAATCTCAGTATAAATACAGCGGTTCGGTGAAGCCCTCAGAGAACATTAGTGAACAAACAGCAACATGAAGGCCAAGGAACACACCAGATAGGTCAGGGAAAAAGTCATGGAGAAGTTTAAAGCAGGATTAGGTTATAAAAAAAAATATCTCAAGCTTTGAACATCTCACAGAGCACTGTTCAATCCAACATCCAAAAATGGAAAGCATATGGCACAACTGCAAACCTACCAACACATGGTCATCCACCTAAACTGACAACCCGGGCAAGGAGAGCATGAATCAGAGAAGCAGTCAAGAGGCCCATGGTAACTCTGGAGGAGATGCAGAGATCCACAGCTCAGGTGGGAGAATCTGTCCACAGGACAACTATTAGTTGTGCACTCCACAACTCTGGCCTTTACGGAAGAAAGCAAGTAGAAAGCCATTACTCAAAGATAGCCATAAGAAGTCCCATTTGCAGTTTGCGAGCAGCCATGTGGGGAACACAGCAAACATGTGGAAGAAGGTGCTCTGGTCAGATGAGAACAAAATTCAACTTTCTGAGCAAAACACTATGTGTGGCGGAAAACTAACACTGCACATCACCCTTAACATACCTTCCCCACTGTGAAACATCGTGGTGGCAGTATCATGGCCTGGAGATGCTTTTCTTTAGCAGGGACAGGGAAGCTGGTCAGAGATGATGGGAAGATGGATGGAGCCAAATACAGGCTGATCTTCGAAGAAAACCTGTTAAGAGTCTGCACAAGACTTGAGACTGGGGCGGAGGTTCACCTTCCAGCAGGACAATGACCTTAAGCATACAGCCAGAGCTACAATGGAATGGTTTGCATCAAAGCATATTCATGTGTTAGAATGGCCCAAAATCCAGACCTAAGTCCAACTGAGAATCTGCGGCAAGATTTGAAAATTGCTGTTCACAGACACTCTCCATTGCATCTGACAGAGTTTGAGCTATTTTGCAAATTGGAATGGGCAAAAATGTCTTCTCTAGATGTGCAAAGTTGGTAGAGACATCCCCAAAAAGACTTGCACCTGTAACTACAGTGAAAGGTGGTTTGTACAACGTATTAACTCGGGGGGGCTGAATACAAATGCGCGCTACACTTTTCAGATATTTGTACAAAAAATTTGAAAACATTTATCTTTCCACTTCACAAATATGTGCCACTTTGTGTTAGTCTATCACATAAAATCCCAATAAAAAACATTTACGATTTTGGTTGTAACGTGGAAAATTTCAAAAAGGGGTGAATACTTTTTCAAAGCACTGTAAGACTCCGATGTTTAGATGTCAATGTAACATCCACATGAATGGCAGGACCCAAGGTTTCCCAAAAGAACATTGCACAAAGTATACTGCCTTCACTGGCTTGCATTCTGCCCATACTGTATCCTGGTGCCATCTCTTCCCCAGCAAAGCGATGCACATGCCCCCTGCCATCCACGACGTACAAGAAAACATAATTCTTCAGACCAGGCCTCCTTCCATTGCGTGGTGGTCCAGTTCTGATACTCATGCACTCATTATAGGCACTTTTGGCTGTGGACACGGGTCACCATGTACACCCTGACCAGTCTGTGGCTGTGTAGGCCCATACACTACAAACTGTGGTGTTATTTTTTTCTGTTTTCAACACATGAACAACAGGTTTACTTGCTGCCTAATATATCCCAACTTTCAGATGTCCATGTAACAAGATAATCAATCTTATTCAATCAGCCAGTCAGTGGTCATAAAGTTATGACTGATTAGTTTATAACAACCTTGAGTTCAGCCTTTACCACTTGTCTACCAGCACTTTTTATCACACTTTCTTGTTTTAATGGCAGTTTTCACAGTCTACGGCGCATGATCTGTAGGAGGGGCGGCATTAAAGATGACCTGTAATTACAGTATGCTATCACATAGGGGGCTATGAGAGAAGAAACAGTTTTACTGATCAGTATCCTCCGCTCCCCTGGTCAGCAGTGCACATCCATGATCTAGCACTGGATTGTCCTTCGATTTCCTCACGTCCAGACCAGGTCTATGGGCCCTGCTCTAGTCTTGATAACATCAGGACCCTAAACTGTGTGCAGAAGCAGCGGGTACTGGTTTAGCTGCGGGGAGGAGCGGAGGACCAGGTAGGTACCACATATTTCCTTTTATTGTTCCCCTAGACGTAAAACGAGCAATTAACCCTTGCACTGAGAGCATAGCCTATAAGGGATTTTTTTTTGTTTTCACACAGTTAGGCTCTAAAAGAGTATATAAACAAAAACACTCCTCAAAAATTTAAAGTCTCCCATACACACATAACAAACGCATACGCCAGGTGCACATACTAAAATCATGATTTCGCTACATATTACATATCACCACTAACATTAGAATGAAATGATAGGGCCATCATTCATGGTTAACGCCAAATGGAGCCTTTAAAAGCATCACCTATAGGCAATTTTGGGTATCAAAGTTTGTGGCATGCAAATTTAAGGCTTGACATGATGGATTTTTACTTGACTCAACCTCATCTTTTATATTGTACAAAAAATGTTGTAATTGCGTTTCTGTGCCCTAAATATGCCCTTCAGCATATTTTTTACTGAAAATATGTTTGATAAACATGTGCAAATATCACGTGACATAAAAAATGCAATTACAACCATCTTATGCTCTTGCTTTCAAAAAAGTTTTTTTTTTTTTTCAGGACTAACACGTGTGCAAAATCTGTAAAAATGGCATGGATGGAAAAGTGCTTAATGTGCCATATCATGTATTTCATTTTCTGACAACAGTACAACAGGATTTCTGGATGGAATGTCTCGTATGCAAAAAGCCATAAGAGGGGGAAATGAAATATAAATAAAATTGAACAAAAGTCCAAAGAATTGCAACAAATTTAAAAAGGACTTTCAGCAGGTAAATGTTAAAATGAGGTAAAATACCTCAACCTGTGTTCTATTTAAATATACACTGCAGTTTCCCTTTAGACGATAAGAACAATGCCGTAATTTACAGCTTAAATTAGCTTAAGTGCCCTTCTTTGTCATTAAAAATGCATAGGAACCGTCTTTTGTTGAACGAGGGTCAAAAGTGAAAGGCTATAGGTTTCTCTTTCCAAATGAAATATTTACATGGACGAAGAAACCCAGAAAAATAGCTATGATTCCCTTATTACCTGTTGGTTTACACAAAAACAGTAGGCATAAATGTAGACCTAAAGCATGGCATGGGGCCCATCAAAAACACCAGTTTAATGAAAATATAGGATGAAGGTTAAAAGGTATGTACAGCATATAGGGTTTCCCTATCTATATTCTGGATGAAGAAAAAAAAAAAAATATATATATATATATATATATATATATATATATATACACACTGTATATAATAGAGGATTTATATAGCACCGACAGTTTGTGTAGCACCTTACCAAATAAACAGAGAATGTACAGTTACAAAATAATTCAGGAGGGTTAAGAGGGCCCTGTTCATGGGAGTTTACAATCTAAAAGGAAGGGGCAAGTGACATACAAGGTAGTAACTGTAGGGGTATGTGTTGATGGAGAAGGTAAAAATTCAGTTGTTAGGTTGAGGTGGGATAGGCTTTTGCCGCAGAGACAAGTTTTCAGGGATCCTCTAAAAACAAAAGTAGGAGATAGTCGGACTGTGACATAAATGTACAGATTTGAGTACTGAAATGTGACCTATAGCAATATGTAATCGTAAATTTAGTTCATTCCTTGTTATTAAAAGAAATATTCAGTCATAGGTACTCAGAGACAGATGGTCACCGATTAGCATCTGAAGAGAGACATAGCTTCCTCAGGCTGGAAGTGACACCTGGGTGCTAATAAGATTTTGTCACTTATATGTAATCAGACTTTGCCATCTTCCTGAAGCTTAAAAGAGAAACACAGATGTTTCGGCTTCCTGACACCAGGTGGGCCCTGATCTGTCTGGGGAGCTCTACAATATATACATAGATCAAAAGAGTATGTTTCATCCCTCATAAAAGCTAAAATATTAGATGCAGAGAGATGAAAATACTTCCTTCTGATTGGGCACTCTGTGGGCTACATCGGCATGTGGAAACTGTATTTGTGGCCTATGTGGAATGCCAGAAAAATGCAGGAAATGGTTATGTGGCTCTGGATTGCAACAACTGAACAGTGATTGGTACTGTCACAAACGGACTGATGCGCTGGTGTCGGAAATTCAATCCCCGACTTGGTGATTCAGGCCGTTCCTGGTCCAATTGACTTTGGGCAGTTCAGCACCCAGAACATCCTGTGGGTGGGTACAGGAACACCCCCCCAGAGTCAATTGGCCAAGGACTAATGTCCAGCCCACATCCATATTCTCATAAACTGAGAACCCTGAAGTAAGGACAGGGTGATTCGTATGTTCGATTGACTAACGGATTACGGACTTTTTCTGACGTGCCCCAGTCGCAGGGTAAATCTTGGTAAAAGTTTTCTGTTTTATT